GGGCAGGTGGTCTCTGGATGGCTTGGCCCACCTGGATGGCTTGGAGGAAGCTTCTCCCTGCATGGAGGGAAGAGGAGGTGGCCCAACCAGCCCGAAGCTGAGCTGCTTCTGCCTACTGGCAGAGTGGTCTCCTAGCGCTCCGTGTCTGACCCGGGCGTTTTGTTGCAGACAGCCCCTTGTTCTTGCTCAATTTCCAGCCGAAAAGGGGTCTTTACTCAAAGCGCGCTCTGTTATTTTTACTGCAGCAAGTGGATTCACCTCCCACCTGCAGGTTGGCTGCTTCCCAGGAAGTGACTTTCGGTAAACATTCAAAGAGGAAAGGCACAGTGCCCTGTGCCTGTGTGTCCCCACGACGGCTTTCACCTGCAAGCCACACCTGGATGCTGAACGAAGGGCCGGCCGTGACATCCTGGTCTTGCCCCTCCATGGCGTTGCATCATGGAGCAAAGGAAGGGACCAGAGCCGACCCTGCTCTCCAGGCGACTCTCTCGAGGACAGCTAAGGCGGCAGCCACCCTGGCCTGCTCTTCGACCCCGTGCCCACCTGTACGTTCTGCATGAGGCGTGCCCCTGCAGGCATGACAGGAGCTTCCACACGCTTGACAAGCCCCCCAGAAAAGCAAGCTCCCTGCCCTGGTTTGAAGACCTTCCACGGAGCCCGTGTCTTGGGCCTACCATGGGCAGAGGGGTACGTGGCAGGTCCACCAGGGAGGGCTGCTCCCAGGTGCTGGAGCCCCACCATTTTGGGCAGATAAATTCACTTTCCGATCTGCGGCCTCCAAGCCCACCCAGCTCCTTCGCCTGGAGGTGGACACTGGTGTCCTTCTCCTGGCTGCCATGTTTCCTTGCTGGAGTGTGTGGATCGTGCCAAGAAGTAGCAGCTGGAGGTGGGGCTTTAGCGCCCCTGGAGGGGAGTGGGCAGCAGCAGAGTCTCGGCATCTTGCGGGATTTGCTGTTCCAGAGGATGGCCGTCGCCCTTGGTTGGGGAGGCTTTCAGGGGGCTCAGGCAGATTCTCAGCGGGGCAAGGCTACCCATGCCTGTTTCCCCATTGGCTCCTGGCTACCTCCACCATCGGATGCAGTGTGCGCCAGCTGCTGGGGAGCATGGGTACCATTCCATTTGCATCCTGTTCATGGCCTCCTCAGGCCGTTACCCGAGAACCCCGCAGAAGGATTGCCGGTGTGCTTGAAAAGACCCGCAGAAGCAGCGGTCGATGCAATCGGCCGCGTACAAATCATAGCTATAAGCGAAGCTGAAACATGGCAAGAAACCCATCTCGGAGCTGCTCTGGTCCTTGCCAGCACGTGCTGGAGAGCAGAGGAAGCCGCTTCCTGTGCAGGATTGCATCCAGATGCGGCCTCTGGGTCTCCGAGCACAGGGCCAGTTCGCCTGAAGTTGTTTCTGAATCGGCAAATCCAGCACGCTTCCCAGCATTCAGGGAGATGGGCAGCGGGGCCGGAGCGTGCCGCGTGAGCCTGTGCAAATGTGGTGGGGACCTGATCCGTCGTGGGAGAGAAAAGTCAGGCTGGGGCGGGGACCCTCCGGGCCTCCTCCCTTTCCCCCGCACGGCATATTTTGCTGGCCCTCCCTCTCCTGATCGGAATGTTGACCCTCGTCTCTCATTCCCAGGGGAAGGGAACAGGGTAGGAGGAGGAGGAAGGCAGTGAGAAAAACAAATGTGGAAAAAAGAAAGAAACATTTCTCCATCTGGCTGATGGCTTCTCTAGATAAATGGGGGCCTCCGCATCTTCCGATGCGCTCAAGCCAGGGCTGTGTGCCGCAGTGGCTGGCCCAGGCACCCTCTTCCGTCGCGTGATTCCCCTGGCCCAGTCCCCCCTGCGCTTTGGACGAATTTGCAGTCGGGACACACAAGTTCACAGCAAGCCTCAAAGGAGAAAGAAATCACAAGAACACCCAAGCAACACCTGAGGCGAATGTAGACTAGCTGAGTCCTTTGCGTCATAACCAGGGGGTCTCGGGGCTCCCGAAGTGTCGGATGCCGGATTGGAAAATGCGCGGCCTCGTCTCAGGCCCGCCTGCCTTCCCCGGAGAGTCTTGTTGGCCAGCCTGAGGTGCATTTAGTTACTCTCACGTCAGTGCGGCCTCCAGTGTGTCTCCATTGGGAACGAAAGAAGTGAACGGGTCTGTGCCGCCTCCTTGATGCACCTTGCATAAATGCAGTATTAGCGATAAGAATGGGGCGTTCCTGCGTTCCTCTTCTGCACCCCCCCTTCCAGCCGGAGCGGAGTTGCTTTGATAGGTGTTGCCAGCAGAGCTGGCCATGGGCCATTCCACACGCTCCGGATTTGATTTCAGTGGGTTACGTGGAGCCGTGCAATCCTACAGCCCACCAGTAGCACCATTTGCAAAATGCACGTGGCCACATCCGTCAAGGTGCTGTGTCGCACATTTTGGAAAGGGGCCGGTTCCAGCCCCTGCGGACTTCTCCTCTGAGCTTCAGCAGCGCAAGAGGCAGGGCAGGACAAATACAGGGGAAGGACAAAGGGAACTTTGGGGTTGGACAGGCAAGAGAGCTCCCTTGATTCATGCAGAGGCTTTGCTGGACATTACAGCGCAGCGCACAGTGCGCACTTCCGAGGCATCAAGAGCTCCTGGATGCTAGCATAAGGGACTAATGAGCGAGCATGCGAGTGGTGTCCTGCAGCAGCAGGGGGCTGGACTGGATGGCCTTCAGGGCCCCTTCCGACTCGACTTCTAGGATTCTGTGGTTGCTTTAGTGGACAGAACATTCCAGGGGTCAAACAGGAGTCAGAGGGGAAACTCTTCCAGAGGCTGGAGGAGTCCACGGGGGGGCACATTCTGGCCACCCCTGCCTCAGATGACCCCCTCCTGCAAGCCAGGGAGGACCTGGGGAGCAGTTGGGGAGGAGGCCGTGGGGCTGCCCCCCAGCCAAGCAGCTCGGTGGGGAGTGTGGCTGCACCGCCCCCTTCCTACCAGCAGGGCCTGGATTCCTCCTTGCTGGGGGGGGGGCTCAGCAGGCTTGACAAGCGGCCAGAGGGGTGCCACACCTCCCGCTCCCGCTTTTGTGCACCAACACTGGCGCCTTTGTTCCCGGAGGGATCTCAAAGGGCCCCGGACAGGGGATCTGGCCAGGCCGGGTGCACTGCTCCTCCACTGCCCCCCCAGAGAAGAATCCTCCCCCCGTGGCCAGGACAGGCACCTGCAGCGGGGGGCCTGCTGCGGATGAGGCTCCGGGGCACAGGCTGGACCATCCCCCACCAGGGATGCTCTCGCCTCGCCTCGCCTCGCAGCCCATGGGAGTCTTGCCGGCCAGGATGCACCCCCCCCCCGCACACACTTTTGCAGGATTTTGCTGAGGGAGGGCCTGTGCCGGCGGCGCTGCGGGTTTCCTTTTAGGCCAGAAGGCAGAGCAGGGCCGGTGGTGAACAGCGGGCAGAAATGCTGGCCTCCGGAACGAGCCCACGCTGTGCCTTTCCGGTTTCCCGCCAGCTTGCTTTTCCTGCATTCCTTCCCTCCTAAAAGATGCTTTTAGTGGAGAGCCCCTTGAGGCCAGGAAAGGTCTCCTCCTGGGCAGAAAGAAAGGACTGAGACAGGGCATCAGTCTGAAAGCTCCAGGAAGTGTTGCCATAACCAGAGCGTGTGTGTCCTTGTTCATAGCCGTTGCCATTTTGGCTCCAGAGAGGCAGCGTGAGAATGCCGGGAAAACAATGTCTGCCGTCAGGCCACCTTCCAATCCGTGGGGATCAGAGGCACATGCCAACCCCCCCCCCGCCCTGCCCCAGTGCTGTTGGACTACTATTCCCATCTTCCCTCATCACTGGCTACTTTGGCTGGGACTGATGGAAACGGTCGTCCACCATGGGGACCCCCGCTGTGGCAATGGAGGCACGCAAGAGTGGTGAGCGCCGTGAAACTTTGCCCAGTCTGTGGAAGATGACTAGTGACACGCCTGCACAGCAAAGGCTGCCGTGGCCCAGGCCCTGCACGGGCAGGGGGCTACCCTTCCCCCGCCCCAGAGCCACGGTGCGGCTGATTCTGCAGCGGGCGTCTGTGCAGAAGGCAACTGGGAACGCCTGAGCAAGTGCTGGCACTCAGCCGGTGTGAGGCCCGGCCTGTGACCTTTGCGCACGTTCATCCAATTTTAGAAGAAATCTTGTTGGAACCAAGTCTGAACTCAGGTTAGCCATCCTGGGGGTCCAGCGGCGAGTGGCTGGTCACCGAAAGAGGCTGGAGTTTGGCTCTGGCGGCCGTGCAGGGGTCGCATTTTGGCTGGGGGTGCATTTGCTTTCATTGGCCTCAAGGGTTAGTGAGCAGAGAAGACGGGCAGAAGATTCTCACGTTTCCCAGGGAGACACGATCAATGAACTCGCTCGGGGAGGGGCGACACCAGGCAGTCTTTGTGAATGAGCTCTCCAAGGACAAGATGCTTCCTTGGGAAATGGACTTCTGCCAACCCCGGAATGAGAGCAGGAGAGCCGAGAGGCTCTTTCTGTTGGGCCGAAACCCGTTGGCTGCTCCGTGATGACTCACATTTGGAAAGGGTGCCCACGGAGGCAGTGAGGGGCCAGCCTGCGGGGGGCGGGGAGGTCTGCATTGGCCAAAACAAACTCTTGCAATGGGGCAAAAGTGTTACCTGGGGCAGGGGAGGAGTGGCCCCTGAGCGAGACTCTGCTGACATTTCCTTCGCTTTTCCTCCAAACTGCTGGGGGCTTTCAGCTGCGTGGGGGTTGGTATTTGTAATGCATCTGGGTTGCAGTTGCAGCTTCCCTTTCTGGAGTGCCAATTTTCTGAGGATTCACGCTGTATCTCCGTCAAATCACCATTCCTCTCTGTTAAGAATTTAATTCCGCCTGGTCGTCATTCTTCTCCTTTGAGAGAGCCAATGAAGCAAGTTCTTGGCATAAATCTCTGATGGAGCCCCAGCTGAAGCGCAGCTCAAAATCCCACGTCACTCAGCCGGGAAAGCTATGGAAAAGAGCCTTCCTGGTTTCTAACGTTCCTTCTCTTTCTCTCCGTAGGTATTTGCATCAAGTGCGGAAAGGGGGTTTACGGGGCCAGCCAGGCGTGCCAAGCCATGGGGAACCTCTACCACACGAACTGCTTCACCTGCTGCTCTTGCGGTAAGTCGCCTGTCGATAGCCAGTTCCGCCGACGTCTCGCTGGACTCCCGGTCCCATGCCCGGGATGCCTTCCCTGGGGGGGCACCGCACTTGTTTTGACACCTCTCGAAATTCAGTGTAAACTAAGTGGAAGGGGGAGTTGGCCAGCCAAGTGAGAAGGCTGCACCGGGGTGCCGTGGTGGGGCGGAGTGATTTTGCGGTGGTGCCGGAAGGACGTCCAAGAGATTTGTGAGCAACCTGGAGCAGAACGCGCACTGAGAAGGAGCCTCTGGGCTGGCCAGCTGCAAGTGGTTTTAATTGCGGTGGAGGACGGTGTGGGCATGGCGCTCGTGTGACTGTCTCCTTGGCCGGTGATGTCCGCTGGGGGCTGGACCACCAGGGCTTTCTCTGTTGTCGAGCACCCTCCAGAGAGGTTGGCCGTCAGGTCGCTACTTCGGGGAGTGTTAAATGTTCTGAGAAAACGCTTGTCTCTGCAGCTCTTTTTATCTGAAGCTTTTGCGGGGATGAGCTGGGCCAAAACATTCCCAGAGGCTGCGGCCGTGCTCAGCCGGCCAGAAGTTCTCTTTTTAATCCTCCGTGTCTCCAGTTGGGAGACCACGTCTTCTGCAGAGGGTTGTCCTGAAGGCCCTCCTGGTGGGCTGTGCTCTCTCTGCATGGCTCGTGTTTGTGCTCAGAAGAAATTGCTGACGTGCAATCCAGCAGCTGGGCTGACCCGACCCTTGTGGCACGGTGGGCAGCGTCCATGTCGTTCCCAGCCGCCTGGGGTCGCAGCCGGGCACCTCTGGGGCTGGCCAGGGGGCTGCTGCACGTGGCTGGCTTTCTGCGTGTCTGCGGCTGGGATGGGGGACCATCCCGGAGTGTTGCCACTACAGGGGCAGGGATGCTCCAAGTTGTGACTCGACGCAGCAGGGGGGGCCCAGGTGGGGAACGGGGCAGGGCCAGGGCTCGGGTAGCGTTTCGCTGAAAGCCATGGCACTCCTGGCGGAGTCATGGGCGGTCTGGCTTGCCCCCTTGCTGGTGGCCCAGGGAGACTGCATGGGCCACTATCGCTGGCCCTTGTTCTGGCCATCTGGGGAAATGCTCGTGGACCCCCGAGATGCTCAGCCACTCCCCACCAGCTGCGCCAGAGGAACCATCCCTCCCTCCCGCGTCATGAGGAGCGGGCAGCCTCCGGAGGTTAGCCAGAGCCCCTTGGAACGGTCCCTGGGAGCGGTTTTGCCCGGCTGGCTTTGGACAGACTCCTGGAAACCTTTTCTTTAGGAAGGAGCAAAAGGAAGGGGGGCGGCTTGGGTGGCCCTGTGCCAAGCGGGCCTCCTTGGCCTGCCAGACCACTCTGGCCATCAGCAGCCCGCATCCGTTTTCGCTCCCCCCGGTGCTGGGCAGACTGTCCTGGAGATGTGTCCCAGGGCACGCCAGGCGTGGCTACCACGTCTTCCCGCTTCTGCGAGTACACCGAGCCGGAGATGAGCGGTGCCACGTCCCCCCACCTGGCGCTCTCCAAAGGTGTGAGCCTGCAAGTCCCAACATGCCCCAGCGAGCAGAGGGAGATTCTGGGAGTTGTAGTCCGGACTGCCTGAAGGGTTCCCGGTTGGGGAAGTCGGGCCAAGTAGGCTGAGAGAGCTGGTCCAATCCCAGCCCATCTTCCAAAATTGCACCCTGGGGACTGGAACTCTTCCATGGGCTGCAAAATCCGCATTTCCTCCGTGAACACTGCCTTTGGAGTGTCCCCTAAAAGTAAATTCCCAGGAACCTGAACTTGGGTCCCGTGCTGAATGCTTGTCATATTTGTTTTCATCGCTTCCTTTGGAGCAAGTATTATTGGTTGGTTGCGGTTGACATGCCCCGACCGATGCTGAAAAGCAGCTGTACGTGCTAACTTTCGGCACAGGTTGTCCCATGAATATAGTGAATTGTATAAAAGGAGATAAAATCCGTGAACGCCTCCCCCCCCCCCGCCCCCGCCCTGCGTTCTCCTGAAGCGTTAATTTGCAGGGGAATTTCTCTCCTCCCTCCCTGCGGATCGCCACTGGGACACTTCCAGAACTCCTTTAGTTTGAAGGAGCCCTCGGACGGGACGCAGCTCCTCAAAACCTGAAACTTAAACCCCTTTAGATAAAGCATTTAAAATGGAAGGCCCGGCCTTTCCCTCCCCCTCTCCCTCGCCTCTCTCCCATGCTTAAATTGTCAGACCCCAGACTGGGGGTGAAACAGAATAGAAGTCAGTGACCTCAGCCCGGAAGAATGTCGCTTATTTACGTAGAGCTGCTGCTATTTTAGCGGCAAGCCTTTTCTCTCGCAGGGACGGAGTTTTGTGTTTATTGGCCGAGGCAAAGGCGTGTTCGGCTGGAGATTTGCATCCAAATCGCCTTCGCCACGGAATGTGGGCCAGCTCCTTTTAAAAAGCTGCAAGGAGATTTTGTTTTGTCTTGGCCAACGTCTGTCTGTCTGTCTGCCTGCCTGCGTGCCTCTTGAGCTTTAGAGGAGTCGTTGCAGATACTGGGCATTGTGCTGGGTCAGTGGGCCCTTTGAGAAGAAGCGGGGCGTCCGTGGGAGAGCGTGGGCGCGAGCACCCCATCTCTGCAGAATTATCCGGGGGTTCAGCTGCTCCGGGGACTTGGCTTCCTTTGGTTTTCAGTAGCAGGTTTTCCTTCAGGACTGTCTCTTCTGGCAGCCACAGAAGCTCCGGAAAGCTTGTGATGCCTTTCGAGCGACTCAGCATGCACCCGGTTTGAGCCCAGAGAATGCGAGGGTGGGTGCGAAGCGAAGGCTGCTTTTGGCATCCCAAGGCAGGGCTGAAAGGTTTTCGGAAAGAGGAATGTGTGTGGGGGGGGCACGACCTTGCCTTCCAGATAAACAGGGCCACTGCTGTGCTCTGGAGGGGATGAGGGGATTTGTAGTCCCACACATCTGGAGGGTGGTGGGAACAGGTCCAGGGGGCCACGTTTGCAGCGGTTTGAGGTTCAGGCATGTGGGGAGGAGGCGAGACGTGGCCTCTTTGGGGGAGGAGCTGCCTGGGGCTTTGGTCCATCTCCCTTCTGGCCCTCCGCTCTCGAAATGCTCTTCCCTCCGTCCTGGTGGTAGGAAAGGCCTGGGAGCACGGCATGTGGGAAACGTCCATCCGGACGCAGGTCTCTCCCGCACGCACTTCCTGATTCAGCCAGAGCAGCCGCTGGGCTTTTAAGCTTCCTTTTGTCAGGGCAGGATCTCCCCCTTGGCTCGTCCGGGCCGGAATCGCTGCATCCCAGCAGATTCTGAGGACATGCTCCCTCCGTGTGGAGTGTGGCGTGGGCAGCGGTTACTGCCACACTACAAAAATGTGCAGAGTGCGAGTTGCGCTGTGCGCAGGCAGAACAGCAAGCCGGGATTCCTGGCTTCGCTCGAGCACACAGAGTGCTCAGACGTCTGCTCGCATTTTCCTCCTTGCACAAGCGGGCAAGCAAACAAGAACTGGTTCTTTTCTCTCACTGTGACGGTGGACGGGGGAACCTGGGATTTCGCCCGCAAGCAGCCCAGGATTCATAAGCCAGCGGTGTGCACCGGCTCGCACTCCTGGCTCGCTTGGGTCTGGATGCAAGGCCCGCCGGTTGGCTCTCACACGGGGAAGCGGGGAGAGGGGAACGGCGACACGCACCGGAATGCAGCTCGTTTCCATGAGGCCGAGTGAAGCAGGCGGTGGGCGAGCTGTTACCTACAAAAGTGGCTACTCAGCATGGAGTCGGGCTTTCTGTGAATCTCTTCGTTCGTTTTAAGAGACGGCCGAGCGCGTGGCAGTGGCGGCTGCACAGATACGCGGTTCCGGGCCCAGTGCTTGCACACACGCACGCCCCTCCTCCGGCCTTTCCCACTGCGGGTCTCCAAAGAGGCGCTGGGAAGTACCCGGGCAACGCCACGCCGGCAGCCTCGGAGGGGCGGCTGGGTTGCAGGGCCCACAGTCGACGCCGCTCCAGTCCACCCCACTCGGGCACAGAATTTCCTTAGTCATCCGGAAACGTTCGGCGGGGCCTCTCTGTGCTTCCTGCCTGGCCTCACCCTGGAGGACAGAACTGCGCGAGAACATTCCTGCTTTTCTTTCCCACAGTCAAAAAATGTGAATGCCGGGGTGGAACGAGCAATGCCTGTGCTGCTGGAAAGATCCTCTTGGACCAGTCCGTGGCCAAATTTCCCGAATTCTGGCTGCATCCTCAACGGATGAGTCAAACCCTCGGGCGAAAAGCTGGACAGCCCATGAAACGCAGCAGCATTTTGGAAGGGGAGCAGAGTCTGCGTGTTTTTCCCCTTTCCAAACCCCCCTTTCCTGGGGTGCGGGGAAAAAGGGTTAGGAATACCCCATGCCCTTAATTTTAAAAGAACTATTGTAAAAAAAAAAAAAAAAAAAAAAGCTTCATAGGAGCATGCCAGGGCTGTTTGAATGGCACATGCACAAATACCAATTCTTAAATCCCAGGTACTTTGGAGACCTTAATCTCACAAACAGTGGACCCTTGCGGGCTGATTTGTCCCACTCAAATGCACCTTTCTTTAACAAATCCTACACATTCACAGCCTAGGATGTCACAAAGCAGAACTGTGCAGAATGTGGAGGGGAGTTTCTGCAGAGAAAGGCCTTCTATCATGCCGGTTTTTTCTCGCCCTCTGAAGTTTGTTTGTTTTTCGAAAGGATTTAGAAACCTACCTTCAACTGTGTTGCTGTCAGGGTGACGTGCAGTCAAGTACGGCTGCAAGCAGCCACAGAAACGCAAAATATCATTGCTGCAACATGCAGTAAAGGAGTTGGGAGGCCCCCAAGGCAAGCAGCCCAAGCGAGAAGGCCAGGTGTGGACGAACTCGCGCCAGAAGGGCTGCTGGTGCGACAGAGGCCCGTCCCCCACGCCAGCCGGCCCCGTGGGCCAGATCCAGCCCACCAGCTCTGAGAGCTCCATGCCCCTTCCAAGCACACGGGCACCTCCCTTGCTTCCGTGCCATTTTGTGCCCCCTGTAAAACGGGAAGCGCTTCGCTTCAGGCTCATTTACCGGCCCGACGACCTGTAAGCTAAAAGGGGCTGGTATTTCCTGCACCCAGTCCTTTGCCCCGTGGGGCTGTTGCCCCTGGAGCGCCTCCAAGATTGCCTTAGGCCCGGGGGCTGCAAGGGGCTCCTCTGCGGTCTGCTCTCAGAGCCCACTGGAAGTCCTCGGAGGAGAAAGCGCGGGGCTCTTTCAGCTTCTCAGCTTCCTCCCCTGCTCTTTGCACGAAGGAGGCGCTTGCGCCACTGCCGCGCCCCGCCTGCCCTTTGGCAGACCATTTCCGCAAAGTCGCCCGCCTTTCCGCTGGCCTCCGCTTGCCCTGGACCGGCTTCTGGCCATGAGGCGCTTCGCCTGCCACGCCTGTTAGTTATTACATTGACTTCCCAACCCGTTTTCCTTTCAGCTTGTTGCGGTCTCCTCCCCCTCTGCTCAGGCCTGTCCTCACAACAGCAACCCTGCGAGGGAGGCTGAGCGGCAGCGACTGGACGGGCGGACTGGAGCCCCGCACTCCAGAGTCCGGGCCCTCCCTCGCTGCAGCCGCCGCCTTGCCCACGCTTCGGCACTGCTTGGCGGCCACAGGGGTGCTTCTGCCCCCCGGGGATTACGAGCTGCCGCCCTCCCGTGAACCGACCCAGAGAGGCCCCAATGCCATGGCCGGCCCTGGGTCCAGGCCTGGCCGCTTGGCGTCCCTTTTGCCAGGGGCGGCCGCTCCTGGACAAGCTTCCAGTCTTCGACATGCTTGCTCTGCTTCTTTCCTACTTTTTTATGTGCCTCCCATGAGCAAAACCAAAGCAATTCAAGCAGAAAAGGGGGATAAACAAAAACACAACGATTTTTTGGAGAAGGTTTTTAAGGATCTGGAACGCTAATTACATAGATATTTCACCTGCGTGTAGCAGAGCACACTGCCATGATTCAAAATAATGCTGCATGAACTTTAGCAAGGGCAGCTGAAATATCCGCGTATTTCTCCATTGGCAAATCATGCCTGAAAGCTGCCCGTCCAAGGACGGAGCATCTCATTAAAGCCTCCACCTATTGTGCCATGGCTGGCGGCTGTTTATCTTTCCGGTGTTGTCATATTCGCCTGTGAGCTGCCAAAGGGGCACAGAAAAGCCATTTACATTGGCCGGCCTCTTACCTGTGCGGAGGAACTGAACCAGCTGGCAGCCCAGCCGGGCCAAGTTGAGGGTTTTGTGATACCTGCCTTTGTGGGAAGCAGAAATGGCAAGAGTGCAGCTGCTGTGCCTCGAGTGCATCGTGAGAAGATGCGGCTCCCCGGAGAAGCGGACCATGCTAGGGAAAGGTGAAGCGAGGAGAAGACGAGGAAGATGATGGCGAGATGGATCGGGTCCATCAAGGAGCCAGCGCCTTGTGTTTGCCAGGGCAGGGCATTTGGAGGGCCCCTGTTCGTGGGGTTGCCCTAAATCAGAGATCGCTTGACGGTGTGTAACCGTAGCAGCTGGCTCAAGGTTTCATTATCCGTGCTTACAAAAGCCAAAATGGCTCAGGATCAGGGCCCAGAAGAGATCCCTCGACCTCCTGCCTGCTTGCCAGGTCTGTGCTCATCCAGAAATGCCCTTCTGGTGGGGCCGAGAAGTGGCGTTCTGGCCCAGGATTCTTGGAATGCCGCCACCGGCATTTTGCAGCCTGCTCTCTGGAGCTCCTGCTACTAGAAATCGAGCCGGCTCCAACGCGCCTTCATTTTCACTGCCTGCTTGCTTGTCTCAACAAGCCTTCCCAAACCAGAGAGCTCATCCTTTTTCCTTGTCCTCCTGTTATCCCTTCCAAGATTTATACAGTGATTTTTACTGCATTGTTTTATACTGTGCTTGCACCGCTCTTGGTTAGACACTCCTTTCCATGTAAACAATGTGTAAGTATTGGGAAACGAATGCATCTTTTGTCCCGGGAAGAAGCGGTTCAGGTTTTAGCACCTTCATGGGGAGTACGAGCCTTTCCTCGTTGGCCTGTGAGGATCACCCCGTGGGCACCCTCTCTCAGAGAGGACGTTGAAGACGGGCCTCGGAGAATGACCCATTGTTCTCCAGGCGCGCGCCTGGCAGGTGCGAGCTGGGGAGCCGCATCCTGTGCATTTCTGAAAACTGGTCAGGCCAGGTGGCTGCGCCAGAGGCTCCCCCAAGCAAAACCACAGGAGCAGGAAGGAAGTCCGAGTCTAGGAAGTGCCTCTGAGGTGAGGGCTCCGCCGAAGCGCTCTGGCCAAGAGCGGAGAGCGGGAGATAGAGGTGGCCCCAATCCTGCGGTGCTGCGCTTCCCCGGGCGAAAGCAGCCCTGCCGCGGCAGAGATCCCCACTGGGTGTGAGCACCGCCGTGGGGGCATCCCCGCGTCGCAGTCCCTTCCTGGGCGACCTCCTCTGTCCACTGGCTTTTCCACTTTCCCTGTTGCTGGCGAGTGGAATGCATAACCGTCCCGTCCCCCTCGTGTCCTCTGCTTGTGGCCCCTTGTGCTGTTTCCTGGCCCCGGGCCAGATCCTTATGCAGGCCTTTTTTATACTGGGTAAGCTGGGGCTGGTGCAAACATGTAAAGCCTCCCCCCCCCCCGTGTGGTGGGGAGGAGGAGACGGCTGCGCCTCCGTTGTGCAAGGGCGCCCCCACCAGGCGGGCCGGCCAGCTCCCTGTCCCCGGCTCTGCAGCCACTCAGGACTCCGGCCACATGGACCCGCTCTGTGGCCAGAGGGAATCGCAGCTGCCCCAGGGCACTGCCTTCATTCGTGCCAGCAGCGTCTGAGCTGCCCCCCGCCGAAGTTTCTGCCCCACGGAGTCTGCAGTCCGACTGCCATAGCGGGGAAGCAGTGGGAGATGGCACGGGCGAGGCACAGCGTCCCCTGCAGGAGTCCCAGCCAGGGCCGGCCAGTCGTCTGCCCGTCTTCAGCAGGCCCGTTGCAGGCCCAGAACCAGGGCGGGAGACGGGGGGCCGTCTCCCCCCCCCCGCCAGGCCTTCCTCTCCGGCTCTCCCTGCTGGCAGCACGTCCGCGCTTGTCCCACCGCTGGTCCCCGTCTGGGAGTCGCTTCGGAACAGGCTGGTACTAGCCAGGCATGCCGGAGGGCACGGCTGAGCCTGGGAACAGCAGCCCACTTCCCGAGGGAGCCGGGTGGTGCGGAGCCAGCCCCCCGCCTCCCCCCCCCAGCCCCAAGGGAGTACTTGATGGAGTCGAAATGGCAGGGGTTTCTGCAGTTGCTGGCGAAGGTGCAGCCGGAGGCTCTGGGTGCAAAAGCAGGGTGAGGGCTCTCCCTGCCCTTGGCCGGGGGGGGTGCTGGGGACGCTGGGCAGCAGCAGCCCCCCAGCATTCCGGCCTGGGATCCATGGTGTCGAGCAGGGCAGCCCCAGCACGAGGAGGAGCAGTCCGGGGCCTGCGTGTGAGGCCTTCGCGACGGGGAGGGCAGGCCTGAGGCGGGCGCACGACGCAAGGATGCTGGCGCTTGGCCCACGCTGCGCCTGCAGGGCCCCTCTTGGTGGGCGCCAGGCCCGGCCATTCCCCGGCCCGGGACAGGCCAGGTGCTGCTGCCCCACAGAGCAGGACAGTGCGCGTGCGAGTGAGACGGAGCGCAAGAGTGAAGTAGCTGGCGGAGGCCCTCCCTGCCTCGGAAGGACAAGCCTGCTGGCCGCCTCCTGTCCTTTGGGCCCACGTCAGGCGCTCTGGCCGCCCGCTGCCAGTCCTTCTGGCCGGCTTGCACTCCCCTTCAGTAGCAGCCGGTCCCCAAGGCCGTCCTTCGGGTGGCCTGGCAAAGACGCAAGCCCCATCCTCCCGGAGGGAGTGGGGGCAAGCAGATGACGCAGGCGACGGAGAGGGGCCAGCCGGAACCCCGGGAGAAGGGCACCTGGCTCGGGGTGCCGGGGCGGGTTGGAGACAGGCCCCTCTGGACGCGGGGGGGCTTGGCCTTCCCGCCCAGCTCCCCGCCAAGGCTCCGTGGGGCTTCCTCAGCGCTCCCCCCGGGCACCACCGCCTGGAAGTGCTGTGGCGCTCGGCCCTGCTTGGAGGCTCCTGGTGGGCAGCTGCCCGGGGGTGGGGCGGGGCCGGACCCCCGTTCTGGCCCAGCAGCGCCCCAGCCCATTTGGGCTACCGGGTCTCGTGGGGCTGCCTCCCCCGCATCTGGCGCTGCAAGAGCGACAGGAAGCCTCTGAGTGGGGCTGGCCGGGATTTAACGGCGGCACTCATTGGTGGGCCGGTGCCTGGAGGGCGGTGATTGGCTGGGGGAGGACCAATCCAGTGCAGCTGCATCTCGGCAAGACTGATGCACTGTTGACCGGAAGAGCCCGTGCTTGGGAACCTGCTGTGGGAATGGTTCTAGGTGCTTCTTCGCTTTAATTCACCCTTTTAGGCCTGCTGCTGGCCACTCACCCTGTTGCAGAGGGGACTCGGGAGATGCAGTTTCCCCAGGAAAACCATGGGGGGGTTTGCGGGGGGGTGATTCTGTCGCCAGGCTGGATCTACCCAAGCATCTGTCTGGTTAAGCAAGGGTGGTTTGTTGCCAAAAGTAGCTTGAAAGCCATGGAGAATAGGAAATGGGGGCAGAGGGTGTGGGGGGGTGCACTTTAAGTGACCCCCCCCCAGCATCGTCATCAATTTCCATTTCCTCCGTTTCTCTTTAGTAGCACAGGAAGGGCCTGACTGTTCCGTATTTTCACAGGGAGACGATTACGAGGGAAGGCTTTCTACAACATCAACGGAAAAGTCTACTGCGAGGAAGACTTCCTAGTAAGTACGACTTCTGGGCTTTCTGTGTCAGGTGGTCTGTGGGTTGCACTGAGGCCTGCGCCTGCTTGTTCGTGGGCACCCAGAGGCATGCCTGAAGAGCAGGAAAGGTGCTTGTGCCAACAGCAAGATGGCCTCGCGTGGGCAAGCGGCGAGCGTCAGTGTGCACAACGCGCCGTCTCCGTCTCCAGTCCGGGGCGTTGGCGGGGGAAGGACGTTTTCCGGGCTCTCCCTGGTCATACCATCACTGGCCAGCGAGATGGGTGCCCCGTTGTCAGTCTGGTCAGCTGAAGGCGCCCGCTGACATCTTGAACTTTTCCCCATATGCGGCACATCCGGAATATTCCGCCGAGGAGGAAACTGGGTGGGAAGGCGCCTCCCGGCCTCTCCAGAGAGCAGCTGAGCTTCGCCTGGCCAGGGCTGCCGGTGGGGAGGCTCCAAGGACCCCTCCCCCAGCCGCCACTCCTGTGGGACTTTCCCTGCTTGCGTGCCATGTTTTCCCTGCGCTGCAGAGCCGGAACGTATCTCCCCAGGCTCAGGGATTGGCAGTGGCAGAATTTCGGTTTTCAGTTTGGGAGGAAATGAACACTCACGTCCGTGGGAAAGATCCACTGTTTGCACCTCTGCAGCTTTATTGATCGGTGCCCCGGTGCCTGCAGTCACTAATGGTGATGCATTACTGGGTAGAGGCAACCTCAACTACACAATCACAGTCCATGGACTGACACTTTTATAACCTCCTAGTCACGTACACCAGTGCAGCCTGTGAGGTTTCCAGATCATCTGAGTACAACAGCATCCCAATGTCTCTAGGCTGACATAATGTTCTAAAATGATCAGAAATACCGGGAACAATAGTACGGAGAACATTGCCGATCGCTGCATGGACGAGTGAATTGAGCAGACCTCCTTGCAGTCTGGATCCTGCTTAAACATGCGAGTGTGTCTGAGGGAGGAAGCGCTCGGAAACCTGGCCTGGCAGCCGCACTCAGCAGGGCCCGGCTCTGTGGGACGAGATGCTGGGGAGGGTCCACTCAGACCCACATGGGCACCGTTGTCTCAGTCCTTCTGCAGCTGATGAGAACGCAGGCATTTCCCCACGGAGAGGGTTGGCCTCCAGCAGCTTCCCAGTCCAGCTCCGAATTCCATCTCCTTACAGCAAGTAAGAGCAGCACTTAACAGTGACCTGGCTTGGAATTGGGGTGCTTTCTGAGAAAGGGGTGCAGGTATTTTTATAACGCAGAGGCACATACAAGCAACCTTTCCTGCCAGGATTTATCTGAATTTTCCCAACAGTGGCGAGAGCCTTCAGAAGAGGGAATGGAAAGGAGCTGGAAGTTTGGCCCCTGGCCTGTGTTGCTTTTGCCCTCCCACCCTGAAGCAGAACTGCCCCAGAACTTCTCTGAAATGGAATTCGGCTCGGGGTCAAAAGGAGGCTTGCCAACCCAGGCTAGATGGGCCCAACAGCCTGCCAGGCCCTGGCAGCTCTCTGTGCTAACTGCCTGGCCCCTCTCGGGCCTTCCAGGAGAGAACATAAGGCCCATGTGGCTGCACAGTTGTCCAGCAATTGGGGTAGGGCAGAATCCAGAGGTGGATCCTCAGCTTTGCTTGCAGAGCGTCTGTGGCCCATTCCTTACTGCCTCTAGTTAGAAGGATCAGGCAGGGGGAGATGGGAAACCCTTGTGCCTCCGAGACCCTGGGGAACGGCTGCCAGCCACAGTCCACAACATTGGAGTCGATGCACAAATGGCCGGATGAATTCAAGGAAGTGTTCTGCCTTCTGACATGGCAGCTTTCGCGACGCGATTTTCCATTGCTTTTAGCGTCCTCCCTTTTTGGAAGCCCATGATTCGGCTGGAGCTTTTGGTTTGTGCAATTTACCTGAATGGCTGTTAGGCCGAGTGCTGCCCACTTTTCCCATTCCCATTCTCAGAGGTGAGCGAGCAATGCTGCCCTGCTCCAGAACCTGCCAACCTGGGTTGCTCCAGCTGCCCTTGAGACCTCTTGTGGTGCTTGTTAAGACCTAGCGTATGTAAGCTCCCCCCGAACAGGGAACAAAGATTCCCTTTACATTGTGCTAACCAGACACATTTTAAGGAACGGGACGCTGGTATGGTGCAGCAGCCTTGGATCTTGTGGTTAGGAGAATTTTGATGGCTCCACAAAATCAAAATTTTGTGCCGGCATGTCCCAACAGGATATCCTGGTGAAGATTAACGCAGAGACAAATGGTTGTCTGTTCTGGGGGGCGGAGGGAAACCTCGGGGAGGACGAGCTCTCGGTTTTGCTTTTTGGCTCTTCCTGCTCGGGAGGCATGTGCCCGCTTGTCGCCCTCCTTCTGGGCTTTCCAGGACGCGGTGAAACTGCCGGCTGCAACTTCCAACTAGAGAAGCAATAAGCACATGAGAGAGGTTTTTATGCAACGGAAGTGGCCAGGAGATAGTGTCCGGGCACTGGGGCAAACGTGCTTGACCAAGACCCAGATTCGGACCCGCATGTGACCGCTTGGTGACATTGGACCAGCTGCCAACTTACCCTACAGGGTTGTTGTGACCAGAAAATGATGAGGTGGGAGAAGGGGCGGGGGCCAAGACTGTCTGCCCCACGGAGGAAGGTTGGGAAGTGAATGCAGTGCATAGACAGCCCCACACGTGTGGTGAAAGTCTTGGCTAACTGGTGCCTTGGGAGAGCTTGCACCAAGAAAAACTGCCTAAATTCTTTTTTTCTTTTTTTTTTTCCATTTATAATATTTGTATCTGGCCTTTCTTCCCACAAGGTTCCCAGGTTAGCTTACGTAATCCTCTTCCGTCTTGTTACCCTTACAACAACAGCCCTCGAGGCAGCTCAGGCCGAGAGTGAGTGGCTGGCCCAAATTCTCCCGGGGAACATCATAGCCAAGCAGGAACTCGGACCTGGCTCTCGGGATCTCCCTATCCAATGCTCTAACCACCATACAACACTGCCTCGAATGACCCAGCTCCCCTTTCTTGGCCCACCACATCAATTCGTGCAGAACCAAGATCGTTTTTGTTCCTGGGTGAAAATAGCCAGCCGCTGAGCGGGGCAAGCCTCTCCCCTGCCAGGTCGCCCCGTTTTCAGCCTGGCACACTTCCCTTGCTCTGGTCTTACAGTGGTTTTCAGAATAACGCTAACCCAAGCAGAAACGTGAAAACCGCAAGCAAATCACAAGTGAAACAAATGCAAAGCTGGTGAGGTTTGTGCTTGAGAGCGACCTCTCCCTCTGCAAGGGTGCGGACCCGATTGTGTGGGTCCGCCCCCGGAGCCAGATGGATCCGGAAGGATTCCTGAAGGCCCTGGGGGAGTTTCCGGCTGACAAGTCGGGTGCTCCTGTCGAGGCTCTGGTCGAACTGTGGAATGGGGAGATGACCAGGGCTGTGGACACGATCGCTCCTAAGCGTCCTCTCCCACCGGGCAGAGCCCGCTCTTCCCCTTGGTACACTCCTGAATTGAGGGCGATGAAGCAGGTTGGGAGACGGCTAGAGCGTAGGTGGAGGAAATCACGGGATGAATCTGACCGAACACACTTGAGAGCCCACTATTGGGCCTATCCTGTGGCGGTGAGGGTGGTGAAAAAGAGATTTTTTTCTGCTTCCATTGCCTCCTCACAATGCCGTCTGGCAGAGCTTTTTCGAGTGGTGCAAGGCCTGGTTCATCCAGGTCCGAAGGAAGACCTGGTTCCACCCTCAAAGGCCCGCTGTGACGACTTTGCCAGGCATTTCAGGGAGAAAATCGCTCAGATTCATCACGAGCTGGATTCCACTATTGATTCAGAGGTTTTTGGGGAGACACCAATGCTGCCGTCTGGTCCAGAATTATTGGATGAATTTCAGTTACTGCGGCCCGATGACGTGGACAAGGTGCTTGGACGAGTACGTCCCACCACTTGCCTATTGGACCCTTGCCCGTCTTGGTTAATAAAGAATTCCAAGCACGGGATTGGGATCTGGATCTTGGAAGTGGTTAACGCTTCTCTGAGGGAGGGTCGAGTGCCTGCCCCTTTAAAGGAGGCGGTAGTCCGACCGGTCCTGAAGAAGGTGTCACTGGATCCAGAGATGGCCACTAACTATAGACCAGTGGCCAACATCCTGTTTCTGGGCAAGGTGTTAGAGCGGGTGGTGGCGGGACAACTCCAAGCACTCTTGGATGAGACTGATTATCTGGACCCATTTCAGTCCGGCTTCAGACCCGGGTACGGTACTGAATCTGCCTTGGTCGCCCTGTACGATGACCTGTGCAGGGAGAAGGACAGGGGGAGTGTGTCCCTGTTGGTTCTCCTGGACCTCTCAGCGGCTTTCGATACCATCGACCATGGTATCCTTCTGGATAGGCTTGCGGGATTGGGGGTTGGAGGCACTGCTTTGCAGTGGTTCCGCTCCTATCTCAACGGCCGGTTCCAGAAGGTGGTGCTGGGGGACTGTGGCTCTGCGCCATGGCAGTTATGCCATGGAGTACCACAGGGGTCCATTTTGCCCCCTCTGCTGTTCAACATCTACATGAAACCGCTGGGAGAGGTCATGAGGAGGTGTGGGCTGCGGAATCATCAGTACACTGATGATACCCAGCTCTACCTCTCGTTTTCCACCAATCCAGGTGAGGCAGTGGCTGTACTGAACCGGTGCCTGGCCGAGGTAATGGGCTGGATGAGGGCCAATAAACTGAAGCTCAGTCTAGACAAGACGGAGGTCCTGTTGGTTGGTGATCGGGCTTCGGAGAGGGTGAATTGAACTTAGTCCTGAATGGGGTTGCACTCCCTCTTAGGGACAGGGTCCGCAGCCTGGGAGTGCTCCTCGACCCAGAGCTTTCACTGGAAGCTCAGGTGACAGCAGCGGCGAGGAGCGCTTTCCTTCAGCTTCGGCTGATCCATCAGCTGCGCCCCTACCTGGAGTACGACTGCCTGGCGACAGTGACACATGCGCTGGTGACTTCCCGCCTTGACTTCTGTAACGCGCTCTACGTGGGGCTACCCTTGAAGACGGTCCGGA